CTTCACGATTTCTGCCTGTATTAATTAAAGTGTAGTACCTTAGGTCTTCTTGGAGGCAGACGTTATGTGAAATTGTTTAGAGATTTTTGCTTTTTTCCGCAGTTCATATCATCTTTATTGTATACGTAAGTTTTGTTGGATCTTACCTTCGAAAATTTCAGCCAGAAAAAAGGCTCCCGAAAATTCTAGGCGACCTTTTAAGGGTAAACATCCGTTAAAAATGGGCAATTATAGTAGTTTTTAGATGTTCGAAAATCCTAGGAGAGGCAGGCAAGCAAGAAATTTTGCAACAAATGTTTCGAAAATTCTAGATCTCAAATCGTCTTCCGAACAGATATTTTCCGAAAATTGTCGTTGGGTGCCCCTGATCATGATCATATCTCACCTTAGTTAACTGAATGGCAACATGGTTTTGTTAAAGGTCGATCTTGTCAGATTCAATTGTTTCCAATCATCAATGGGCAGCTACTCTTGACGAAGGAAGACGAGTCGATATGGCCTTTTTGGACTTTTCCAAGCCCTTGATGGAATGAATCATTTAGTTTTACCGTAGAAGCTGTGAAACTTTGGAGTTTTTGGCTCACTACCACATTGGTATGAAAATTAAGTAATCGTCGTCAGAGAGTGGTGCTAGATGAAGTGTCTTCTTCTTGGTCAGATGTCTCAGTTGGAGTCCCTCAGGGCTCTATATCAGGGCCTTTATTTTTTGTTTTATGTATCAGCGATCTTCCTGAAGTTGTTCATCCCGGCAAAACAATTACCATTTATGCAGAGTACTGTAAATGTCCTTGAATCATCGACACCGTTGATGATCTTGTCACAACAAGAGCTGGATTATCTGCATCAGTGTATTCTTGACTTTCCTTACAGCGAATCTGTCGAAGGATGGGTTCTTAGGAAAGCTTATTTACTTTCTCCACAGACTCTTGCTACTCTAGCATTGGAATTCGAAAAGAGAGACAATCTGACGAAAAGTCAGTTCTTGCTTAAAAGAACAAGGAATCCACCAAAATAAAATCTGGCCTTGTAACAGGAAACGACATTTTTTATTCTCAATGCTTATTATTCGTGAATTTTTACCCATAAGATTTTTTCATTATGCATAAGCATATCCAGTACTATGCTACTACGTTTGTTAAAACATTATACTTAAGTTACTTTCACCATGGAAACTGGACTGTTTGACCTACTTGTCTCTCCCAATAAGCCATCAAGTACAATCTCACTGAAGAATTATAAAGCTTATTTCGTTGTCATAGTTTTCCTGTTGCGCATACAAAAATTTGATAAGAAGGCTTCTTGTTTATCGTTTTTCGCATAATATTGAACAAGCAAGAGATTTTCACAACTATGTACACAACCGAGAGAGATTTACACAACTACATACATAGAACTTTCTCCCCCAGATAAATATATGAAATTTCATATAATTATTTTCTTTTATATCCGAAGCATTGTTGGCGGTTAGTTAACTGGCATCAGTCGTTTGTGTAATAAAAATTATGGTTCCCTCAGTGTTCCGCTTTAGAACTCAGTGGTACTGATAGGCTGCTGTATGTTAGCTTATATTTTCTGATACAAAACATCATGTTGCTAAAATCTCAATCAGTCTACTGTCTCTATTGATGCTGCTATGGTGACATTACTGTGTAGATTGCCTCTTTTACCTTACTTGTTTCAGTATCAATGAGGGTTTCTGTTAACAAAATATAAAATATTGGCAAGTTCACAGCGACAAACCGTTGAGTGGTGCTGGATCTTCCAGTTGTGGACCTGGATCAGTATAATAGCAACTTGTATAAAATACAAAATGGCAAACTGATCCTCACGGCAAGGCGATGAAGGAGTAAATTAAACCAAGGAATAAAACCAAAAAATATATTGAAACAAATTTGCCCAATATTTCGGTTTGAAAGACAAACCTTCTTCGGGGGCTAAAAGAAAACGAAGATAAAACTGAAAGTATGTACAAATATAAAATTAAAACTATAGATTGTGATTGGTGTAGGTGACTAAGCAGGGTTTCTGTTCTTGTTGCTATACACGAGTTTTATACAGTATACACACATTAGCCTTGGGCTACGCTCTTGACAATGACAGTTGTAGCTTAAATGAAATTGACATAAAGTATCTTGTTGGAGGAAAATTCAATTGATCACTCCAGAAAATACCATATCATACCATAATGCTCTTTGTTTGTCACCCCCAAATTTTGCATGAGCCATATGTTCAGTTTCTCTTGGGGCCATTTTAACTCCCAAGAGAAACTGAAGGCAATACTTATGCAAAATTTGGGGGTGACAAACAAAGAGCATTATGGTATGTTATGGTATTTTCTAAAGTAGTCCATCGGCATTCTTGTCGTCTCCTTGGGATGATTGTGGTAGATGTATTTGTGACCCAGCGTAAGATGTATCAGCCGTTTGCATTTGCCGCCTCTTTCTGCGTTGAGCCAGCGGACATTTGGACCAGCAGCAGCATAAGTAAATGGCCATCGCAAGAGTAAGTAGGATTGATACAGCAGAGATTATTCCAGCTTTAGCTTCATTACTATAAAAAGAAAAAGAAACGAAAACTAGAATGGTGAAAATAATTTTTGCTGTCATGAATGGCAACAAAATGAGATCAAACTGTGCTGATCAGATAGACTTGACCAAGAGCCTTTTAGAAATTTTAGAGAGACAATTTCTTCGCTGGTTTTCTTCTTCTATTGGAAAAAAACCTGAAAAGCGAGATACAGAACAGTGTATGTAAATATCCTCCACCTTTACGAAATTAATTTTCTAAAAGGCGGTTTCCCGACTTAACTTCAAAAGAAAGAGATTCGATCTTTTTAGGCCCTCATCCTTCGTCAGAGCGCAACAAAGGATTGTGGGCTGTATGTGGAATGAGCCGTAAGTATCGTTGTTGGTGGAACTTGGTAATATAAAAATGAGAATAATTTAACAGCTTGTCTCTTCACCAACAGACACCTTTGAAATATTGGAACGGATATTTCGTTTCTGTTCATGGAAACAATAAATTTTGTCGCAATTGTCTACCATTTGTAACTCATTTAACAACTAAGTAGTGTCGTAATCATAATTTAATTATGGTCTTGAGTGGTATCAATGGAATTTACCTTAGAAATACTCGGCAGCATTTTGCCTTATCGTTTTTGATACAACACACTTGATTATCCTTGTCATCATATGGACCCGGGCAATAATCACGGACATGGCCGCCCTGCTGCTCACTGCAAGACAAACCTCCTGGAAGGCAGCAAGAAGGAGCACCATACCAAGAACAACATCGTGTCTGATCCGGGGAGTCATACGATCGAGGGCAGTAGTAGGATCTGAGGAGTCCTTTGGCAGGACACCTGGTAAGACTATGCACTGCTGAGAGGAAATAATACCCGGTACACATAGTAAGACTGTGACTGAAACTCCACCAAAATATTTCTACCTTTTTAAGGGGAGCTAGAACTTAATATGTTGTTTTAGCCCCACCGTGTGTTAGTAATTTTATCAATTGAGAGATCTCCTCTGAAAAGCTCAGCAGAGCTTGCAGTACGTTTCCTGCCCATGTATACCGCCAAAGACCAAATGCACAATCTGATATTAATTGTACAGTGATGAGCCAATAAAGGAGACAAAACTCCTGTTACGATTTTAGCACCCGGCGATTATCTGTTGTAGGCGTTTCAGGAAAAATCGTTTTTGTGCTACTTAACGGTGGCTCCGTAATTAATACTAGAGCATTTTGCTGTGACAAAGTTTTCGTCATAACTTTTTCGTTTTTAACGCGATGGCTGCGAAACTTTGCAAAGAACAACAGATATCATTCGGCAATGGTACGAAATATTCCGATTTCATTGATGGTAAACAGTTCTTGAGAAATTAGCGCTTAAAAGGACCCTACTGTTCAAAGAAAATCGCGTCTGGTAAAAAAACTTGCTGATATTTTTGACTGAAATTTCTGGTATCAGCTTTAATTGATATAATAAATATGCCAGAGGAATTTCAGAAAAATCGTTGGAGCAGAAGTCCGTACAACTAAAAGTCGCTCATTCGTCCCTCCTGGCTGAGGCGCGAATTCCTCACAGAGCTGCCGCTCGTGCTCATTTTCTTGTCATAAACAAAGTTGCTGGACAGTTCTATCTGAGCTTCGATACAAGGTACAATCCCAATACCTTTTTCCTGAATTGGAAACAACGTACAGCAGGAAAAGCCGTTGATGAGGATGCCTTGCAATACATCAAAATGTTTGTAGCAAGAGTTTGAACCAAAACTGCCAAGGGATATTTTAAAAACGTCGAGGAACCGGCAAGCCATTCGACGTCAGAGCAAGGTTTGGAGCAATTTATAGTGCTTCTAAAACTGAAAAGTACCTTTTAAAGAATAGCACGATAGGCAATCGGCTTCTGTTTTCAGAATTAGCAAACATTGAATTTACTTGTCCCGAAAATTGAAACTAGTGTCTCCTTCTTCCTGATAGTAATTTATCTTTGAAATCACAGCTGAATTTTGAGCGACTTTTTTAGTTACGGACTTCTGCTCCAACGATTTTTCTGAAATTCCTCTGGCATATTTATTATATCAATTAAAGCCGATACCAGAAATTTCAGTAAAAAATATCAGCAAAATATTTTACTAGACGCGATTTTCTTTGAACAGTAGGGTCCTTTTAAGCGCTAATTTCTCAAGAACTATTTACCATCAATGAAATCGGAATATTTCATACTATTGCCGAATGATATCTGTTGTTCTTTGCAAAGTTTCGCAGCCATCGCGTTAAAATCGAAAAAGTTATGACGGAACATTTGTCACAGCTAAATGCTCTTGTTTTAATCACGGAGCCACCTTAAATGAATGTTTTTTGCTTGGTTCTATACATTCGCCTCCCAGGCCGCGGCAGACATCCTCACTGTCTGCTTAAAAGCAAACTCTAGTGCACGGTTGTGGCTAACATGAATCTTTCCTGAGGTGGATTTTAGTTGCTGTCTAGTCCCAACCGAATTGTCCATGTTAAGGAGTACAAGTCCAACTGTCACCTGGTCACTGGCCCTTCTTCTTTACAACACAGGAAATTATAGTAACGTACTACATAACTTAAGAACCGGCTTTTTAACTATGAAATAGTTATAGCCCCTACTTATTAAAGCGATAGTGAGTATGATTGTATCAGCTGAAATATTTTGGAAAAGGAAACGATCGGAGACAAGCCTTGACAGAGCAACAGCCGCTAATATCATGAGTCAGTCATCTGTAGAAATTCTCTTTAAAATAATATGCTTAAGACTCATTAACCGAGATTATTATAATTAATATTATATGTTCATGTTAGCCATCACATATTTTGAAAATAGCATATGTATACTTTCTTTTTACATTGGGGATCTTCTCAGAAATGCCCATTAGGACTTGCTAAGATCTCCTGCTAAATGTATCCTTACAAGTACTGTATTGTGAATGGCGAAATAAGCGAATTGAATAGATTTCATGTTTTGCAATTTTCGCACACTTGAGGTCATATAACACGAGATGATTCCTTATTGCTCCGAAGTCGTTAACTTTTTTCGAACGCTCGACCTTCTTAGTTCTTTTATAGGACCTTTTATAAGCTAAAAATATTTTTAAAATCATGAATCACTCCGTTCAGCAATAGGGACTAGAAAGTCATGGCGACGACGGGAATAAGAAGTTCAAAAAAGCAATGGTTAAATGAGCAAATAACAACCCTCCTCGTGAATCACATTTTTTGGTACATTTCTTTTACGTTTCTGCAGGACTAGGAGTAACGTAAAATTCCTAATTTCACATTTTAAAGAGAAAGTAAAAAACAGACTTTTTTCTATTTCTTTGTGAACTTGGATATGCTTTTTAGGGATTCAACTCCAGGAGAGTTCACCGATTTATTTTACAAAGAGAGCGAGTTGGAACTAAGTGGGCTGAAGTTTTCAAAAAACACAGAGGCACTTTCAGGTAAGTGACGTTGTTTGGCGCCGCTGTTGCTTTCTTTACTTTCCGCTAAACACAAAGTTTCTTCACCTATAATTTTTGTCATTAAATCATTGAGAAATCAGAATTTTGAAGCATCATTTAGCGAATCAGCGATTCGCAATTGTGGAACTTTTTCCCTACTCAGCTGATTAAAACGGAGATCTTTAATACGAATTTTTCAAAAAAAATTTCTAAGACACACTTTTTCCTAAATGCTCTTCAAAGATGAAATATTTCATAAAAAAGAAACACTCACCCGAGACTATGGTAAGCAAGAAAGCGAGAAACGTGATAAAATGACGATTTATCATATCTCTGATGTACTGTCAAGTCAAACTGAACTTTCGGGCCTCGAGATGTGCTGTAAAACATGTATTTGAACATCCGTTGGAGCTATCAACAAACAAGCATCAAACCGCAACAACGCTGTACAGGAAATAACGAGCTTGACACACAGGCGACAGGAATGGTATCTGCTCTGACACCTCTCGATAAGGTTCCTTTGTTCCGGGACTGTCCCGCGAAATTCTCCATCATTTTTTCAGTTTTTAAGCTGAGAAAAGGGATGAGCTATAAAATGATATAGTAGCACAGGTTTTAAGTAGCTGGAAAAAGCCATTTCAAAACCAGGCATAAGCTTGGAATGGATCTTTCATGCAAAAACTGTACGCATAATGTTTTAGCTGCCCCAGCTGGAAAAACCATAGGAGTTTGGACAATTTATTGCTTTCAGCCCTTTAATAGTCAATTACACGTGCAGCAACGTCTCTTGTTGATTAACGGTGAAAACAATTTAAACGTGTTCGTTGCAAAACAAGAGCAAATTATTTATTCAATCATTTATATGGAGAGGGAGGCCCTTTTGCCAAAAAGAAGACTTACGTTTGCGGACAGGATTATTTATAGAGCATTATTCATTGCCCGTGAATTTAACGATATTGAAAGAACAACTGTCTTATGAGGCGGGTCGTTTTCTTCTTGGCTGCGTTATCTTTAAGAAACCACAGTAGTTGGGGTGGTAAACACCCCCAGAAAAGAAAAAATATATATATATATCAAGTCATTTTCGCTCCCCACAGTGTATGTGTATATAAACAAACAAGTCACCGGTTTGACCAGCCCAGACGTGGTTTACACAGCGGAGTTTGTAAATTGAAGCTAAGTTCGCTTGCCTTGTCATGGGTTAACCGTATCCCTAGCATTATAAGCTGCGGGATATTCGCTTATTCTTTATAATTCCTTTCAGTACTCTTGAACACGATGTATAAGTTGTTGCTGAGAAGAAAGTCAGTTTAAAGGCCTGAACAGCACCGCCTTCCCAACTTCCCTCTTTTTGCCGGTATCACGGCCAGGTCTTGGGGCATGATAATGACGGACTTGTGATCGCTTTATTATCAAAAGAAGCATTCTGTTTAAAACAAATATAACGCATAACAAGAATACAAACGTACAACGGAATTAACCCTGCCAAGCAATTAAAAAAATTCTACACAAAACAAAAAACCAACATAAAATTGAAAAGCGAAACTACGAGTTACATGTTGACTAAAATGTTGGATAAGGGGATTAAAACTTGTTCTTGAAGCCTCTTCAGCTTCCTGAGCACATCCTGCTTGTACTTATTTGAAATCATTGCTATATATACACAAGGAACTTTAACTGATAAACCCCACGTTTTTTTGTAAACCTACAAACCTATTTTACTTGCATGGACCTGGTGTTCACCGAATGGTTTTCCTTTAATGTTCTTTAATGCCCGTTACCTGGCCCACAGATTATTGGCGTTTTATCGAGAAAATACGGTAATGAATAATAATAATAGTAATAATAATGATAATGATAATGATAATGATAATGATAATGATAATGATAATGATAATGATAATGATAATGATAATGATAATGATAATGATAATGATAATGATAATAATAATAAAAAAACTGAAAATAGTGAAAATAGTGAAACAATTCAGTGATGATATTGGTATGGAATTTGGACTTGAGAAATGTGCCAAAGCCAGTTTCAAGAAAGGTAAACTGACCTCAACTGGAAACATAGTAAAAGATGATGACAGAGAAATACAAGAGTTGGACCAGGAAGGAGTATACAAATACCTGGGTGTAGATGAAAGTGATGGTATCTAGCATAGCAAAATGAAAGAGAAGATAAGAAAAGAATATAATAGGAGAGTAAGATTAATCCTAAGAACTGAGCTCAATGGAAGAAACAAAATAGAAGCTATCAATAGTCTTGCAGTCCCAGTTGTGCAATATAGCTTTGGCATCATTAACTGGAAAATCTCAGAACTGAAGAAGATTGACACAAAAACACGCAAACTATTGAACATGCACAAGATGTTACATCCTAAAGCAGATGTGGAAAGGCTGTACATCCCAAGAAAAGATGGAGGTAGGGGCCTGATTGATGTAGAAACAGCATTCAAAACAGCAGCAATAGTGCTTGATCACTATCTGAAGCACAAAGAAGGGCAATATCCAAAGCAGGTGCTTGAACATGAAAGATCTAAAGCCAAAAATTCAATATCCAAGAATGCTACTAAATTCAAAAGGGAAGTAACAATGCCATAGATCGAGAACAGAGAAGATAAATCTGCAGTCACAGTCACCACCAACAAATGATTGTCAAGTAATTTGAAAGGAGAAACAAAGGGACCACTTGTAGCAGCTCAACACCAGGCAATAAACACCAGAAACTACCAGAAAGTAATACGTGGCCAGCAAGTGGAGAGCAAATGCAGAATGTGCTCGCAACATAAAGAGATAGTGGACCATATCGTATCTGGATGTGAGGTATTAGCCAAAACAGAGTACATCTGCAGGCACAATAATGCTGCAGCATATCTCCATTGGAGCATATGTAAAGATCATGATATAGAGATTACAGACAAATGGTACGAACACGAGCCAGAGACCGTGACGCACAATAAAGATAACAACATCACCATCATGTGGGACATGCCAGTCAATACTGATAGAACTACAACAGCGAACAGACCAGACATCATCGTTAAAGATTCAGTGAATTTCACCGGCAAACTTATTGATATGACTGTTCCATCAGATAGAAACATCGCACTGAAGGAAACTGAAAAAAAAAGCAAGTACAAAGACCTAGAACTAGAAATACAGAGAATGTGGCATATGAAAATCGTAGTGATCCCTGTGGTTGTTGGTGCACTTGGTACAGTGAAGAAGGGTATGGTAGAAAACATCAAGAAAGTATCAGAGAGAGCTACTATGACAGAGATTCAAAAGATCTGCATGCTGGGATCTACGCGAATCCTCAGAAAGGTGCTCAGTGTATGAACAGAATGATTGACTTGAGTGACTGACGTTCTAGGTGCATGGTTTGCACCAGGCTGATGCACAAAAAGAACACCAGCAAAAACTATGATAAAAGAGAGAATAATAATAATAATACTTTAATCATCCTCTCCCCTTATGGGGCTTTTCAGGGATAATGAAACAAATAATTTAAATGGAAAGTACCATATTTAAAAATCCAAACTGGTAGGGGGCAAACCACCTGGCTATTTTTACAAGCGTGGCCGTGGATTCAAACTCGGCACTACCGAGAACAAATCGTGCTAGCGTTCAGAGCAGGACTAGGTCCAGCGCTCTAACCGTTCGGCCACGCTGCGTCCTTATATTCTCGACCCCAAGGCCTTCGGTCTTTTTTGGATCGAGATTAGGTACGGGAGTAAGCTGCTTACAATGCATGTTTACTTTTAGGGCGAGGGAGCGCTATGCATATCCTACGAGGGGTTATTTTTGATTTTGAAGGCAAAGAAACATTAGGAGAGGTTGAAAACGCACTCAATGGGGCGGGCGGGCGGGCTTAAGGCCAAAGAACCCCTTATACGCCTAATATGAGTGAGCAACACTACTCGAGAGAACAATTGAACTCGCGCACCGACCAGAAAAAAGGCTGCACTGTAGGCATGGAGACGTGGGAAGTTACCAAGGCGGATTACATCAAATAACAAACATCACGTCAAGCAATTTTATTAGGGTCCAACTTTGCAAAGGTCTTTAATTCTTCACAGACGAACAGCATCAAAAAATTCGAATTACTTTTAAGCACAAATTGAATCCACAACCAAAGGTTCATTTTGGAACCGTTGGTCACCTTGAAATTATCAAAAGATGTTGACTCTGGAACAAATTCTAATGGCTGATCAAGTGAGGGTAAAAATGAGTAAAATGAGACAAAAACTGTCGGCGTGATGATTCGCTTGTTTTCTATCACTAAGAATCCAAAGATGAATCCAAGGAAGAGAAAATACTGAAATGAACTCTTAGGAGGATTAGATAAATTTGAGATCCAAATGTTGGCTCATAAAAAAGCATACTGTGAATAAGTCGTTTCCAATAATACTTAACAGCGCTAAATTATTGTAGAACACTTTTTTGGGTTTCTTCTGACTGGTTAAAGAAATATGTTTAACAACCTTTCGATTACCTCCTAAAAGAATTCGTGCAATGTAAGATGACGAGCGTTATTATCGTTAGCAAATATTATATTGCTTGGGAAGCCAGAACAATTTTACCAGGAACTTTCCGACCAGTGTAAGTGAACCTGTAAACGTGGAATTTCTTCCAAAGAATGTTCTAATCCATTTTGTTTTATTTTCTTATCTATTATTATAATCCCAAATAAAGCTTTGATGTGGTAGACACCTGCAAAGGAGAAACGAGCAATTTAATCCCTTTTTATGACCTTCCAACACAGGAGGTTGGCGGCAACAGAGTACAAGGCCACTCAAGTGCCTGCTGTTCGTAGATCGTCACTTGAGGCAAGTCCTTCTTCGGAATCTCCTCGGTAACCGAGTTCGCCTTCGGAGGTGACCTCACTTCCGAGGATGATAGTTTGTTCCCTTAAGCCTTTCAGCGTGTCTGAACGACTGCGATCGTCTTCATTTTCTTCAGGAGATTCTGGAGTGTCAGACAGCGCAGTTTCATCGTTCCCATCTTCCACCTCTGTGTCAGAATTTACCGGGGTGCTAGCCTCTTCTGCAGAGCTATCTACAAGAGAAACAGCGTCTGTGTACAGCGAGGCAGTACTGCCTCCTGCCGTTAAGTAAGCCGCAGTATCAGTATCAGAGGTGACATCTTCTTTGGCGCTCATAAAAGACTCTGTGTCACTGTCTGGTTCCGGGCTTTCTGAGCGAACAGGTATTGGCTGGTTGCCACGTTGTTGATTTTCGGTGTTACGAGGTATGTGTTCCTGTTGTTGCTCATACTCTTCTTCCTCGTCTATCACAGTGTTAGTGGAGATTTCCAAAAGAGAGCCTGAAGGCGACATTTCTCCATTAGCGTCACCTGTATTTGGAACGTGTTCTGAAGAGGAGTACGATTTCATGACTGTGTACGGTTCCTTTCCAGGTCTACCGTGAAAGTTTATTTTATAAGTCACAGTTTGCTTGTCATCACTCGCAGATGGACGAGACGTTATCTTCTCTTCAAGATGTAACGCAGAGAAATCAGTTTTTGTGTCACCTCCATTAGCTTGCGTGACAGTTCGATGTACTTCAGACGACACCGCGTGTTGGGTAAACGTTGTACTTTCATTGGAAGCTCTAAACGCGTGATTTTCCTGATCAAAAAAAGGCTCGTCCATAAGTCTTGCAACGTTTGGTTTCACGGACACAACAACATTGCTATTATTACTGTGTTCAGGAATTGTGACGGTGCTGACGTAAGACTGTTTAGAGGAGACCACGTGACGCTGAACAGTGCTTGTTACGGTCTTTACAGAGGTCTCGGTCTTCTCTGTCACGTGACGGCTTCCAGTGAATGACGCTGCCATGGTTCGTCTAGATGAAGGTGAAATACTGAGACTGCTGCGGTATCCCCCCGACTTCTCTTCTGTGCTCTGCTTTCTGGTGTTCGTAAGATCCAAGCTGGGCATTTTAGGCTGTACATTCAGAGCACTTTGAAAAACGACTTCGTTCTTTTCTTGCTTGTGTTTTACGGACATTAAGCCCTGCTGTTCGACAACACCCACATAAGCAAGGTCCCCTTCGTCAGGAGTAGTCATATCAGGTACCGAGCTGACAGGATTGGGGATGTAATCTTGAGAAATGGTCTTGACTACGGCGGCCTTAACAGGCGAGTCTATGTCGGGAGTTACGGGAACATGAAACTTCGGATTACCGTCAGCAACATCTTCTGACGAGGGAGCATCAGTTACATCTTTACTGGCCGTTTCCAAGAGAACATCGTCAATGTTCACTTTTTGGGTCTCTGTCTCCTCAGTGAAGTCTTGACGTTTTGTGATCGGTGGTGCGCTCTCCTGAAGTTCAACTTGGTTTTGCTTGATTACTTCAGCTGTTTCTTGTTGTGTCATGCTGGCCTCTTTGGCCTCCTCAGTGGGTTCTGAAACTAAAAAAGTAAAATGAAAGATAAAGACAAAAAAATCACACCGGATGTAATTTAGAAGTACTTGGCAATGATCACGCCTAAATTATAGACCGCGATCGTCACAGTCGTCGTTGTTCACGGTCTTTTGAACTCCCTCAGCCAGTTGAGGAGAACTGAAGTGCACAAAATCCCGTTTAGACCCATTCAAACAAAAGCTCTTCAGCAATACCATAATAAACTGCTGCTCGTTTTTTCCGTATTCACGTTCATGATACGAACTTTATCATTTTGGCACTTTGGTGAATGGTAAGTCCCACTTATCTCTCCCTACAATGTCAATGCACTTTAAGCAAATCGCGAAAATTAGAATATAATTACTGAAAATAAACTTTCATCACCGCAAGCTTACTTTTTAGTCCCTGAGTCAGCCTTGAAGTTACATTCGCAAAGTACTGTATGATTAAGAGTTTTGAAACCGCTTCTGGAGTTCTAAATTGTCCCTTTACCACCTTGGTACCCTGTGTAACTGTGCTTACGGAACTTGCGCAGAAACAAGTGCAACTTTTCCCAGCTTAACGGGTGTACCATATGTTTTGGTACTGGGCTCTGTTCGCGCGCTATTAAGTAAATGAAATCTTGCAATGCGAGCATTCATATGGTTTATATGAATAACCATTTCAATACTACACGTAATTTTCATGATACCGTTAGTTTTCTGCTGTAAGTATTTTAAAAAGTTAGCTTTTTAAAAAATGTTTTCTTTGATACTGTTAAGTGTAAGAGGTCTAGATCATATTCATCAAGAACAAGCGTCTGTGCAGTAATAATAATNCCACCTTGGTACCCTGTGTAACTGTGCTTACGGAACTTGCGCAGAAACAAGTGCAACTTTTCCCAGCTTAACGGGTGTACCATATGTTTTGGTACTGGGCTCTGTTCGCGCGCTATTAAGTAAATGAAATCCTACAATGCGACCATTCATATGGTCTATATGAATAACCATTTCAATACTACACGTAATTTTTATGATACCGTTAGTTTTCTGCTGTAAGTATTTTAAAAAGTTAGTTTTTAAAAAATGTTTTCTTTGATACTGTTTAGTGTAAGAGGTCTAGATCATATTCATTAAGACCAAGCGTCTGTGCAGTAATAACAATTCACTTCCAATCATCGTTGTACACTGTACCTTGCTCTTGTTTATTTGCTGGACTCAACCTATCGCGGACTGCAAACTGCCTTTTCACCAATTCTTCGTTGATGTTCACATCCTGAAACCCCATGATTTATATCATTAACCAGTCAGCTTTGTACAGCTTTTAAAGTACCAGAAATATTATTTCTCTGCTTCTATCCATACTACATTTGCATCTACGTAATAACTAACACAAAAACTATAACGAAAAAAGTAATCATAATACAAGGTGTCATCGTACGGCACCTGTTTTGGCTTGAATATATGTCGTCACCTTTGGATATTAGTTAAATATCCAATACAATGGAAGCTGTATTTAGCGTTCACCCTCTGTTAAGTGGTCAGTCCTAACAGTTGCAGTAGATAACTGTAGTCTGAATTTAGTGGTCGGCGGGCCTTAATAAAGTGTGTAGTGATTGCAATGATTGGCATTGTCCAATATAAGGCTTAATCGTTAGTGACGAATTACATGTAATCAGATTTAGCGAATCCGTAGAGCAGAAGGAATCAAGAAGTGTAGGAACAAGGATAACAAACGGGATAAAACTCAATCACAAGACGAGTGTTTCAATTCATTAAAAAGTGGAACCTTGTCCCTTCTCGGACGAACGGGGGCCCCTTATATAACAAAAGGTTTGACTGCTATGTAACAGCTTTTTGCTGTAAATTCTTGGTCATGGAAGGATTTTCTTATTTATGTTCATTTATTTCTTACCGTCTGTCCAGTTCACAGTTAGTTAAGGTCTGTTCCATAAAGTGGTGTCATCAAGTGATGAGAACGGTAGTTACTTTGGGTGACTCGTGTCACTGATTCGGCGAGTTTAAGTAGTCACCTAAGAGCACTCCATTCTTCACCTAAAAAAGATCAACAGTGTTTAGGATTAGAAACAAAGGAAATCCTGAATGAAGTAGGTTGAATGTGCTGGTTTAACATGAGAATGCAGTTTGGCTAACACTGATTTCAAAGGGCCCCTCACTACATTGTGAGGTTGTCATGGGAAAGGGAATAGGCTATGGAGTAAACCCTACGGAAATCCAGAGTGGAGCCCCTAAGGTGGATTGGTGGTTCAATGGATGCCCTTGGCATCTCCTGCAGCTGAACTGGTGCCAAATGGCATGCTCCACACTTCTTTGGATCCCATTGGTGCAGCCAAGAGGGGGACTCTGATGACTGGACAACTCAGGGTCTCCATATCAACTATCCAGGTGTGTGTCCTACAGAGGTCAGCGTCATTATTTTCAGTGTCGACACAACATGGGAGGCTTGTAGATACGGGTTATAAGTCCAACCTCCATAGGCATAGAGGAGGATGCTGCAGACAGCCTTTGATGGTGGGAGAGGCCATTATTGTTCACTCGTAAGCTACTGCCCATCTCAAGCCAGGCCAGTTACATGTAGGTGCTGACCTGCCAGAATCTGCCTGCCTTTATGCACTCCACAGCCACACCAGATGTTGCAGCACCACCACAGATTGACAGCAGTGCACAAGATTTGTCTTGTGAGATGCCTGCCATGTGTGTGACATGTAATAATACACCCTATTAAAATCAAAACTAATGTAAACAGAAAGGATTCTTTAATTACCTGAAGGTTTTACTCCAGCTAAATAGCACTCAATAGCCTGAAATGGAAGCCCCCTGTGTTCCTTCCTGATAGATAAACAAAGGCAATGCAATGCTTTGTATTCCTAGCATTCACATCAGATGTATATGTAATTTAATATCAACAATGAAAATTGACTACATCTCTAACTGACAATATATGCAGTGCTCCAAGTTGAACTACAGTTTTTTTCTATAAATCAAATTTTGGTGAGCTTAAATTACAAAAATTGTTGCCAGACAAAAGTGTTGGTCAACATTACACTGTACAAGAAAAGTAAAATCAAAATAATAATAAAAAAATGATCAAATTTTGACGTGGATGAGACATCTCAAGGATTAATACCTAGACAGACAGATAGTAAGAGGTAAATTATAGAGAAACCAAGGCATAAGTAATATTTCATGCATGTTTATCTCACTTTGAAAATTGCAAACAAAAATAGTAGCAGTACAGTGGCTTGTCACATAACCAGGGCAATTTTACTGCAATTTTAATGGCCATGTTTTTTCCTCTTTACATGACAACCAAAACATGTTGTAGTTACTGCTTGGAATGCTCATATCTAATGATTAAACCATTTGGCCACTGTAAAGGAAATAAAGATGGGAGTGTTTGCATCATCCTGTCTGTTACTCCTTTTAAAAAGCATTAAACTATTGCTGAAAAAATGCAGCAGCATTTTTTCAGAGTGTCTATTATTTTTGAGTTCAGTCTATACCAATATTCCTTTCCTTGTCAATGAAAACGTAAAACCTTACCTCAGTTCTCTTAATTTTTCCTTGGAAATTTGCCCAGAATCTCCAAAGTCCACATAATACAACTCTACTGTTCCATCTTTGTTGATTTCCACAATGCGTGCTCTGTACCATGATGTATCGAAGTCAAATGGAGCACAGCAAATATCTCCAACCTAGGATAACAAAAGCCACTTTAAGTATAAAGTAGATATACGTATCTATATATATATATTTTAATATTATTCATTATTTTTGGAAAATTTGTCAAACATTTCTTGTGATCTCCCACATGGGTTAAAAAATTGCCTAAAAAACCAAAACAATATTTGACTTATGTAGAATGGACAGAGTGCCAAAATATGTGATTTCTTCAAAAACTAAGAGTAGATTAGGTATAATAAGATTTACAGCCGACTCTATCTCAACAGACACTTTCCTAAAATGGACACCTTGAGTTATTCCCAGATGAACTAACCCCAAAAGTGACAGTCTTAAAGAGGGCTGAGGCTCTCCATGTTGTTTCTGGTGTGGTTCAATTTTATCCTTGGTTTAAATTTTATTTCCCTTTGTTTTTGCTCATTGTAATGTATGATAATGAGTTTGAAACAAAGGAAAATAAAATTTAAACCAAGGATAAAATTGAATCCCAACATTTCCAAAGCAAAACAGCTTTGAAATAGAATTTATGTTTGTTATATTTTCTGGATTATGCGATTTTAGTTAATTATGGGCTAGATGCTTATTTGAAATCGTAAGCTATTTCTATTTATTATATAAACACCAATGAAATACCAAGTGAGCTTTCGCGTGAAAACTTGATATCTTCACACTTGAAAATAACATGTTATCTTCACATGTGAAAATATCACCACTGCTATGGCTTCATAACAAACTGCACCTTTCAGACCAAAAAACTACTTAAGTAAAATGGTTTGGCATTTCATTTGTGTTTATATAATAAAAAGAACATTACATGGTTGCTTGAAGATACGAAATTTCTCTTCTTGTGTTGAAAAAAATAATTCACTCGTTTGCTGCGCTCACTCATGAAATATTTTTCAACACTTGAAGAGAAATTTTGTATCTCCGTGCGGCCATGAAATATCCTCTATTTCTGAACTACATTTGTACCTTCAGCATCTTTTTCAAAGCAAGTTCTAGTCTTCTTTCTCTCATATCAAAATAAGTAACCAATAACATGCAAATAATTTTCACATGAAAGGTGCTTAGTGCACCAGGTACATTGCATTGATAAAGAGGATTTGAGCAAATTCAAAATGGGCCATTGTACAAAATAGCACCAACCTATCAAGGCCTTGTCTGTCGTTTTACCTGTCAGATAGTTTTGATGAACTTACCAGGGCCCAGTTGCTCAAAGACCGATGAGTGCTAACCCAGGGTTAAATTTTAACCCAGGTCTCTTTTTCTTTTCATCAAAAGCATTTTCTCGGACAAATTTTCTCTATTCTTTTTAGAGTAGCCAATCATCAAATTGTTGACAAAAAGAATTAAACTGGATTTGCTTTTTAAGCTTTCATATCTGAATTCAAATTTCGAACTAACCCTGGGTTATCTTAACCCAGCTTTGAACAACTCAGCCCAGTACAATAACCACCAGGTTTTTGACCAATCAGAACAAATGTTGTATTTTATAAAACATGCAAACCTTGAAAGCATTAATGACTGCATGTGCCTCAGAGGATGAATAAAGTTGTGTCAATTCGTTTGTAAGTTTGTCCAAATCAGGAGAATCTTTTGTTATAATCTGCACCCAAAAATGTCCAGGACTGTCGATAGCTGACACAAAAACCCCATAAAAATCTTCTGTCTTTGGAAATTGTACAGTGCCTGTTGTTGAGGGAGCTGAAAGAATAATAAAATTAAGAAAATGACAACAATTTAGTAAACGTGTGTTGTGTAAAAAAAATAGCTGATGAACAGGCCTAATACGGGTGTTGATATACATGACACACTAACAAAATAAATTTTGAATGAGGCTTTCTTTTCACAGCTGCAAAAGTTGTGTCTATCCTTCACCCCGCAGTTCTTATATATGATTTCCATATATTCATAACTTCATAATCATCCTTTCATGAGTTTATAACGAACCAATTCAACGACCTGCTCTCAGTTGGCTTGTTGGCTCAGTTGGTAGAGTGTGCACCGGTATGGCAGAAGTCAAGGGTTTCGAATCCCATACAAGCCTGAATTTTTTTCAGGCTTTCTTTTAGCAACTGCAAAAGTTGTGTCTATAACTGCAATGATCTTTCATATAAAATAAATTTTACCTACAATTTTATAAGATGGGTTAGTGCATTTGTTCACATTGAGTGAAAATAATACTTGAATGAATAAAAATAATTAAATAAAAAATCATAACAAAAGTAGTAAATATATCACAGAACTAACCCAGAGCAGTTTCCAATGTTCTTGGTGCACGTCTGTTTCCCTGCATTCCTGTATCTCCCCTACGAGCCCAAATTTCCTTATCTTCAGCTATCTTTTCATCGAGAAGGCCCTTAGCACTTGCAATTTGATCTGACGTTCCAGTTATAAGACACTTGCGTAAAGTACTTGACAAGTTCTCACCATCTCTATCAATTTTTATCTTTGCCCCTATGGTAAAAATACAAGTTCCTAAGAATGTAAAATATGTTTGAACTCTTCCACATTCTACATGTACACTGAATGTCTCCAGAAAGAAAATCATAATAATAATAATAATAAAGTTGTCAAACAGAGAAAGGGTAATTGAGCGATCTATCTACAAGTGTGGTTTTCCACCCTGACAGAAGCCCATAATCATACCTCCATCTGAGATGATGAGTATCCCTATCTCCATCATATGGGAGCCCCCCCCCCTCCTACCAATGGGCTATTTACACATGTAATGGAAGATGTATTGCCAATTTTCCAGTTATAAGCAACCAAACTGACTTGGCTTCTCCTTTACCAACCTTTTCTGGGCTTCTATTTTTGATGTCTTTAGTAGAAATGTAAGAATTCTGTGACTGTCTTAACCCTTTGAGCCCCAGTATCCACAGACAAATTCTCAAGATTCGATCTCCATACATTTTGTTTAAGAATTAGTTAAGAAAATTTGATAAAAGGGGCTATTGCATTTAATATCCATTCCCCTCCTCCCTGGCTGATGACCTAACTTTTCTTCTTACACTTGAAGATTAAATAAAATTGCATTCAGCCCAGAAGACTTCCAGATTTACTGTAGCTCTGCCATTGATTTTCCCATGTGTAATTATGATAATATTTTGTTCTATTTATCTAACTGAGGGAGCCCATTCCTTATAAGCCTGGTGGCTTCTCTTGGGCTTCCTCGCCATGAGAGTTTAAGTAATTAGATTTCATTTGATTTGTATAATTTTTTGGCAAACAAAACAATAAACAATAAACAATAAAATCATAGGCTGATTTAGCAACAGAACGGGAACGTCAGTTGAAGACAGCCAGCGCAAATTAAACAAAATGGTTTGACCAATGGCGCCACGGCAAATTGGGCACCGGAAGTTGTGTTTAGTCCTTTCCGCATGTTTTGCTGTCGTCAACTGACGTTCCCGTCAGCCTAATTATGAGTCCTAGCCCTTAAGAATATGGGTGTACCCCTGAAGAATTTTGGGGAAATTAAAGCTCTAGCCTGAATTTCATCTGATTACTTCGAGTCGTTACTACTCCCTCAGTAATGTCTGAATCGACCGGCCATTAATGCCGTCCAGTGACGTCACTACTCCTTGACCTTTGCTTTAATTCATGCAAAAAGTAAAACACGATTTTCAAGTGCCAAACCGAGAAATATCGTTTGGAAATGTTAGCATGATACAGAACTGCTTTATTTTTTTTTAAAATCAAAATTCATGTTTAACTTTCAAACTATCAACTGCATGCAGTACAACCCTGAACGGTTGTACTAAATTCTATAATCAAACTTGGTCGCAATTACGCAATGAAATAAACACACACAAGGAACACTTAGTTCAAAAACACAATGATTTGCTTTAATTGAAAAGAAGCTATTTGGTCCTTAACGAAGAAAAAAAAACAAGGAGACAAGAGAGAAAAGCTAACAGAATCATTACACCTGATGGTAAAAATAGCCAGAAGGTTGAATTATAACATTGATCTCAGAAAACTTCGCATAAACATAGTCACCCGCCGCCCACACTACAAAGTGGCTCTAAATGAAAAACCTACCGACTCTCTGCAATGATTCTTCATTCACAGTTCAATTTAGCATTTCAGTTTCGAATACAAGGGCAATTTTGCTGTTTAAGATAAAGATTAAGCTTATCGAACTGTTTGAACTAAACGAAAGAATGCCAGGGATGCGATCCGCTGAATATCAAGCGACAATCCCACTAAAATTTTTCATAATTATACATAATTATGTAAATGTTTAGACAATCAACCAATCAAAATCACTACCCGGTTTTCTGGTAGTGAGTGACGTCACTGGATGGCATTAACGGCCGGTCGATTCAAATATTGTAGAGAGGAGAAAACGACTCGAAGCAATCGGATGAATTTCAGGCTAAAAGCTCCACTTCCACAGAATTCCATAGATACATACATACATGATTTTTATTTGGAGTCTTATACAATAAATAGTATATCAACTAATTCGACTAATTCCGAATTCCATGGTTCCTCAACCGGGGGGGGGGGGGGGGGGGGAAAATAAAATGCAATAGCCCAAGTGCGAAACATTTTCTCTTTAGTTAACACTTAATTAATACTTGAAAACTTTCTCTTGACTATATTTTGATGTCGTAAGGAGAAAATTTACCTTGAACGCTCTTGGGACGTAAAAAAAGGGATAAAAGATATTAGCACAAAAGGTGAAACCTTAACTTTTGTTATTGACTACTGTCAAAGGCAACAATGACAGGAAATGTCCCCACCTGAAATGGAGCTCATGTTTCGTATTGTTTGTCCTCCTTTGCCAATTATTCTTCCACAAGCACGCTGAGGTATGAAAAATTCTTCAGTTCTTATGACTGGTTGTTCCGCTATAATTTTTTTCACCCATATTTCCGCACGTTTTGCCTTTTCGCGTTCACCTTGAATCAGTACAATCCTCTCTCCTTTCTCGTTACCTTCTTCTTCATCCTTCATAATTACACGAGCACCGCTATCCTTCTCTATCTTTTTAATATTCGCACCAGACTTTCCAATAATTACTCCGACAGCCGAGCGAGGGACTTTCACTTCGACGGTCTTTTGATTCGAGGAGGCAACCCTTTCGCTTTCTGTTCCTTTCGCATAATCTGCATCTTCCCCCGAAAAGTGTGAGCTTTGACGTTTCCTGTACCAGAGATAGAGCAATAATGCTATGACTGGAACTCCGATAGCTATCGCTGCTCTCTGCTCGTTGGAAAGAGAAGGCATTCTTATTTTTTAGATATTGAAAATACAGGACTATTCCATGTGATACCAGCAACTTTATTTAGCCTTTTGCTGTGCTACCTGGCCGTTTGCTTCACAGGACACCCAGCTCTGTGACATAACATTTTAACAACGATCATGGTTGCTACGGGTCATATAACGCAAGCAAGTTCATCCGTTTTGGCATTTCTGCCTCTTTTTTTGCGTGCTCCAGTCGTAAATGGAATGAGACGGGGAGGAAAGGAGCTTGGCATTCCAACAGGTATACCGCATGTATGCAATTTTATTAGATTCGATTTTGTAGCGTTCCATGTTACTTTGTTCTACGCTGCCAGAGTCTTGGGACCCACGTCGGGGTACTTATTCGCGTAACTTGACTATTCTGATAAAAAAGAGCCAGCTTCTTTTGATTTTTTATATTTAGAAAGGAGGTAGTTGATAGTGTATTGATTGTCTCGTAATCAACCACTGTAAAGGGTGGATTCATTAAGATTTATAGCAATCGTAAGCATTAATTTCCAAAACACTTTTGACTACATCTCTTAGCTTCTGGACTTTTCGATTACTTTTCAATTTTTCATGGTTAAGAAGCGCAACTTTTATGATATAAATATGTAAAAATAAGTGTTCTTTCAATATTTATTTGAAGTCAGTACAATACAGTACAATCATGCCTCAATATTTATTGATGAATCCTGTCCGGTGCTTGCCAAGTTTGCCATGTTTTTATTGCGCAACTGTTGCGCAACTGTCTGCAATTTACGGCCTGCGGTTTCCCACACGAGAGATGCGACCGGACAAAACAGTAACTCGTGCGTTTTACTCGTAACTTGTCACAGGTGTAATTATTCTTCTCCTTCTTTTCTCTTCTTCTTGCTTGGTTTGAGGGCTGAAATGCCTTCCCATATAACTTCAAGTTGTTTTCCTCATTTTTCCCGTGGGGAGGTTGTTAAAGGTTTTGGGAGAGGTAGTAAGGAGTTGGGTATTCCAACGGGTGAGTTGAAACTTTTCGTGATATCATGCTTAAACTAACTTACAATTTAATTTTGTTTTCTGTGTAGTCTACACGAATTCATTAAAATCTTTTCAAGACCACAGAACCAAATTAATTTTTTAAAAAAAAATTCATTTGGTTGTTGGATGGCAGATCGATATGATCGCACAAAGTGAAACTTGTCAATTCAATTCATTTATATTGTCGAGTCAAGACTTCAAGTACAAAATTACGTACTCTGCAAAGTTGAAGTTTAGTTGATTTATCGCCCAGGTTAAAGACGCGAAGCTGTTTTTGTGAGAGACAAACTTTTTGAGTTAGTATAGTTTGGTCATAGTACAAAAATGAAGTGTGGAATTTTTATATTTGGGATGCATAATTTTGTATTTAACCTAGTTCGCACAACCACAGACCGTCAGCATACCGTCCATAAGCATAAGGATGTTCTAACTTGATTAGAAGCAGAAAACAGAGTTTCTTGATGAAGGCTGTGCTTCTCTCTGCCTATGCAATTGGTCATAGGCCTAGATACAAAAATCCTAATGCTACTTAATTTCTTGGGTCTTTAATTTCTTGTTTTCTACGATTGAAAATAATTTTGTGCTTGAAGTCTATAGAATACACAGTCATGGGATGGAACGTACTTGAATTGCAAAGGTTAATGCCAGTTTTCACACTTGCTTATTGAAGTCATGAAAATAAAACCCTGCAAAATACTATCTTTCCAAAATCGTGAAATAAGTACCAATAACGTTGGCCTATTTGGTTAAGTTGATAATTTTCTTGCCAAGAATAACATTAACATGAGCATAAGTTAGAAGGTTTTGATATTCTTTGTCCATGCTCACAGCTGTGCATGTCATCCTCTATGACTATTGTTTAACCTTACTGCCAGCTGGCCCCCTATACATGTATATTTATGGATGTCAGTGTAAAGCATTTTAGATGACAGCTCAAGAAGAGTGTTGGGACTTGTGCAGGTGTAGGGCAGGTGATGTGGGCTATAAAATCAGCTTTCCAAACATCAAAGGTGTTTGTTCAATAATTTTCTAACTCTTGCCTTGAAATTTAGTTAATGATTTACAGTATGTTTTTTTTAAGAAAACGACTTGTGTTCCAAATACATGTATCCAAATGCAAGTGCTACACACAAAGTCCCACAGAACAAAATCCCAGCATGTGTCCAAATGTTGTTTATTGTGTACTTACTTCTGGTACATGGATGTGTCTTTAGTTATGTTGTGTTTGACACATGAAGTTACTACACTATGTGTCGAGTGTTATAAATGTACAATTACCTCCAATAGGCTTTTGAAGTCCTGTCATTCTAACCAAAATTCTCCCTCAATTCTCCATGATCCATACATGTATGTACAGTTAATTTGAATCCTGAAAAATGTATGCATTTCAAGGTTTATGGAGAAAACATTTCCAGTACATTAACCCATTCGCTCCTGGAGATTTTGCCGAAAAACACGTTTTGAAGCTAGTCGAGTGGTTTTCTGGTCACTGTCGTGCTATAAAGAGCTAAAACTTACCACAAACTGGTTTACAGGTCGAACACTTCACGGCCTTCTGATCCAGATGCAAAATATCAGCTTGCGAAGTTCGGGCATGCGCAGAAAGCAAAATTTCGACATAGTTTTTGGGTTTAAAGGTGACACAGCAGTCTTGACTTTTACTTTTCGCTTTCTCTCCTCCCTTCTTTTTTTGCTTTTCTTGCCTCATTTTTTTTTCTCTTACTGGGCATTTAGTAGGCTTGATTTTGGTGGGAAGAGTTTTAGGAAAGCTTTTAAGATCTTAGGATTAGGTGAAAGGAAAGGTAGGTGGGTAATGGAACAAGATTTTCATGGAGATTTTCGGGTCAATGTCACGTGGTTTTTTGCTTGTTTCTCCGGTGTCCTTGACTGAATTGTGCTCATTCTGGTATGGTTTGAAAGATCTCTTCACTCTGCACAAGTTAGTGAAGAAAGTTGTCCTTGACCGTTAAAACTGATGACGTCAGTCACAATGGGTAGAAAGGACCTGGATCCGCACGGGCGGTTACGGGCGGTTCAGGGGCGAATGGGTTAAAGGTGCAGTAATGTGGGCCGTAACACAGTCAACCTTTTGTGCAATGTTTTTTTGTTTTATGAGCTGTAAAGCAGTTTTGCTCATTTTACCACCTGTGGGCTCAACTTAGTGTGGAAACATTTCGTTGCAGCAACATGTTGCAGAAATAGAAGAGTCTAGTACTATGCGCAAAAAATATTGTGGGCTGAAACAAAGAAATATTGTTGCATGACAAGCTGCTCATACAGGTACATGGTGTTTAAAGGAGCGACATTAATTTCCGACAATCGTGGATGAAAAGTGGCTGGAATGTGTTGCCTGTACAGCTGCTTAAGCCAGCACTTTGATTTACATTTTGTATGAAGAGGTGAATTATTTGTTTTTTATCTTCCAGCAAACTTTCCAACAAATGTAGTGGATAGTCTTCCTGAAGCTATTAGTACTGGCATTTACTATGGCTGGGCAAGTGTTGACAGAGGACCAGTATACAAAATGGTGATGAGCGTAGGATGGAATCCATTTTACAAAAACACCAAAAAATCAATGGTTAGAAAGTATTTTTGTTATATTTTGCAAATTTGTTGACAATTTTAAAATGATCAAGTCTCATAGAGGAGATTAAAGTTCATGAAAAATTTGACGAGTAATAGTTGC